GCGAGCGAGCGGGTGGGCGAGTTGGTGCGTTCTTGTGAGGTGCAGTGTGGTGGTGGTGAACAGGGCCGTCCCCGTAGGGGGGTGTGGAGCCCCGGGTAAATCACACGGTGCTTGGACGGGAGACTTCTTGGGAATCCTGTGCAGTGTGAGATGGACAGGAGCTGAAGAGTGCCACAGCAGATCCTAGAATACATCTGTGTGGAGATTTGAGCGGAAGGCGGTGGTGAAGCTACGACTTTGAGCGTCACCTCCTCGTGGGAGTAGAGGGGTTTTCCTCCGGCTTCCTCCCGGAACAAAGCCGAACTCTCATTGTTCGCAGAGCAACGCATCACGACTCTCTTTAACAGATGTCTTAAAACACAGGGCTTTATTGCTGCTATTATATTCTTGTTATTACCAACGTTCATGCGAGTGGAGATGTCCGTCGGTCGCACAACCCCAGGTGGGAACCGCCTCCCCCAGCTGCAAGCGCTTAGCGACAGCGAGGCAACAGCTGTGGGGCTTAGATGCCAAGACTCCCCCTCCCTTACCTCGCCCCCCCCCCCCTCCGCCACTACCCCCCCAACCCCACAGAGCCTGCAGGAATGTGCGACTCCTGTTATTTTTGTTTTCGTTTAAACAGATTATAAAACGCCATCACGATGGCGGAAAACATGGGGAGACACCGAACCGAGCGTGCGCTCACAACCGGGATGAATAACGCACACAGCAGCAGCAGCACACGCACGTCCACGCTGCAGCGACTCCCCGTTCACAGCGCCAGGGCAGTGGTGCGAGACCAGCCACCGTCGACCTCCCAACGAAGTGGTTGCACTCGCTTTATCCACTCCCAGGCGTTTAACCCGCAACCTACCGCCGAGCCACTGGACAGGATATTACAGAAATATAAGTACACAGCAATGGGGATGGGATATAACATCTGGGAGGAGTATGCAGTAAGCAAAAACCAGACCAGTTTACACAGCAATGTGTGTTTTAGTCTCGGTCTGTAATCAAACAGACAGCGGCTTAACCTGGCAGCCTGCTGCTCAGCGTCGACCGTGCGGTGCAGACAAGCTCGACCGTCACCACATCGCGTGCGGAACACGCGTCCCCGTCTCGCCAGACCCCACAATCTAAGCGGGCTTCAGCCTGGACAGTGCTTCGATGGACGGCCACTGTGCACGCCAGGCTGTCGTTGGCGGCTGCTATGTGGTGGGCGGTCGAGGGAGGGGCAGATCCGTTGTCGTACAGCGATTCTATGCTCCCACGTCTCTGCTCCCCGCCGTCACCAACTCGTACTGCCCACCGTGGTGAAGTATGGTCAAATAACCATTACAGTGAGGGAAACAAGTATTTGATCCCCTGCTGATTTTGTACGTTTGCCCACTGACGAAGAAATGATCAGTCTATAATTTTAATGGTAGGTTTATTTGAACAGTGAGAGACAGAATAACAACAAAAAAATCCAGAAAAACGCATTTCAAAAATGTTATAAATTGATTAGCATTTTAATGAGGGAAATAAGTATTTGACCCCTCTGCAAAACATGACTTAGTACTTGGTGGCAAAACCCTTGTTGGCAATCACAGAGGTCAGACGTTTCTTGTAGTTGGCCACCAGGTTTGCACACATCTCAGGAGGGATTTTGTCCCACTCCTCTTTGGAGATCTTCTCCAAATCATTACGCTTTCGAGGCTGACGTTTGACAACTCAAACCTTCAGCTCCCTCCACGGATTTTCTATGGAATAAAGGTCTGGAGACTGGCTAGGCCACTCCAGGACCTTAATGTGCTTCTTCTTGAGCCACTCCTTTGTTGCCTTGGCCGTGTGTTTTGGGTCATTGTTATGCTGGAATACCAATCCACGACCCATTTTTAATGCCCTGGCTGAGGGAAGGAGGTTCTCACTCAAGATTTGACGGTACATGGCCCCGTCCATCGTCCCTTTGATGCGGTGAAGTTGTCCTGTCCCCTTAGCAGAAAAACACGCCCAAAGCATAATGTTTTCACCTCCATGTTTGACGGTGGGGATAGTGTTCTTGGGGTCATAGGCAGCATTCCTCCTCCTCCAAACACGGCGAGTTGAGTTGATGCCAAAGAGCTCCATTTCGGTCTCATCTGACCACAACACTTTCACCCAGTTGTCCTCCGAATCATTCAGATGTTCATTGGCAAACTTCAGACGGGCATGTATATGTGCTTTCTTGAGCAGGGGGACCTTGCGGGCGCTGCAGGATTTCAGTCCTTCACGGCGTAGTGTGTTACCAATTGTTTTCTTGGTGACTATGGTCCCAGCTGCCTTGAGATCATTTACAAGATCCTCCCGTGTAGTTCTGGGCTGATTCCTCACCGTTCTCATGATCATTGCAACTCCACGAGGTGAAATCTTACATGGAGCCCAAGGCCGAGGGAGATTGACAGTTCTTTTGTGTTTCTTCCATTTGCGAATAATCGCACCAACTGTTATCACCTTCTCACCAAGCTGCTTGGCAATGGTATTGTAGCCCATTCCAGCCTTGTGTAGGTCTACAATCTTGTCCCAGACATCCTTGGAGAGCTCTTTGGTCTTGGCCATGGTGGAGAGTTTGGAAGCTGATTGATTGATTGCTTCTGTGGACAGGTGTCTTTTATACAGGTAACAAGCTGAGATTAGGAGCACTCCCTTAAGGAGTGTGCTCCTAATCTCAGCTCGCTACCTGTATTAAAGACACCTGGGAGCCAGAAATCTTTCTGATTGAGAGGGGGTCAAATACTTATTTCCCTCATTAAATTGCAAATCAATTCATAACATATTTGACATGCGTTTTTTTCTGGATTTTTGTTGTTGTTATTCTGTCTCTCATTGTTCAAATAAACCTACCATTAAAATTATAGACTGATCATTTCTTTGTCAGTGGGCAAACGTACAAAATCAGCAGGGGATCAAATACTTTTTTCCCTCACTGCATCTCTCTGCTAGCGTTGGTGACGTCTCTGCCCTGCTCGCACAGTCCTTCAAAAACGCGGCATCACGAGTTCGATTCCTGGCCAACTCCAACTTCTACCAGCGGTGAACTATGCCCCAGCTGGTTTTCGGCACCACCATCCACACTCCACCGCCTCCCCCCCCCCACCAACCCGCACTAATCAGCTGGGTGAAGTACGGTGAAATGAAGCCTGTGACTGTCACGGCGTGGGGAGGGCTTTCCTCCAGCAACGTGTGTCAAACAACGGTGAGTTATGAACGAGGTACAGTCTGGAGCGTGTGCATTCCCGATCGGCCGCTTTGCTTTCGCGAGAGCCACATCCATAAACGAGGCGCCGCAAAGCGGCTCCACACCTGGCCAGGTGACGACGACTCGAAGCACGCACACAGAACCGGGAACAGCACAACCAGCAAAGAGAACGGGCCTCGCGCGCATGCAGCGCCCGCCTTGAAGAGAACGACACGCGGCCCCGAGCTCCGATGGACTTGTCAGAATGTCCGCTGCGGGTGTTGGGGGCGGCGGGGCAGGGCCGAAAAGCAAATCTGTTCTGCAGTCTGGTCGGGCGGTCGTTACGCGACCCCCCGCGACCCAGCCCCGGGGGTTTGACGAGCGCCAGACCGGTTCTCGCTTTTGTTTCCCCCAAAAAAAGAAAAAAAAATTGTTTAAAATAGCCTCGGCGGACGGAGAAACCCGGAGAACGGCGGCCCGTACCGACCGGGCGGCACGCCCTGCACGACACTGCCGTGCGTCACGCCGGGGTGGGGGGAGGGGGCGCTTTGCTTGTGGGGGTCTAACTGGGCCGCTGGGCTGGTCACCTGAGCGCCAATAAATGCCTCGGACGTTAAGAGACCATGGAGCAGCTGTGATATATAATCTGATACACGAACGGATGAGGACCCCCCCCCCCCCCACCCAACCCCCCCCCCACCCAACCCCCCCCCCCACCCAACCCCCCCCCCCCCTCCGGAGCCATCGCCATTTCTCGCAGTTCTGTGATGCGACAATCCGTCTAGCACCTGCACCCGAGCAGATTGCATCGTTCCGTCTCCGTACCCGGCGGAGGACGTCCTCTCGAGCCCGTGGCCGTCTTTGTCTGCGTGCGATTCCATTGTTAGGTCTCGACCGCTGGCTATCGTCCCTTCTAGCGACGTGTCCTGCCCAAGCAGCCAAGCTCAATTACTTTTCCTCGCGGTCAACATGACGTCCTTTACCTGTGAATGCTCCCGCTCACCCATGTTCCTCTTTGTCTCTCGGTGTCATTCAGAGCCATGCGCAGTCCTCTCCGTGCTTCTCGCGCATTTTTCACCTTTTGTATCATTTTCTTTGTCAACGTCCATGCGTCGTATCCGTACGTCAAGGGAGGTGCTGTGCACCTGCTGTAGGCACATTGCCATGTCGCTTTTCATTACGTTCAAACGTGCGTCTCCAAACCGTCCACACGGAGCGTGACGCCAGGCTCCTGGCCGAGGCTTGGCAGTGTCAACACACGACTCCGTCTCCCGATACCTTTGACCCCCACCCCCTCCCCAACCTCAGATTCATTCAACCCACGCAGTCATCGTTGGCGTGCAATACCAACAGTGCGCCCGTCAAAAGCCGAAAACGCACGTCACCCGCCGCCGAATCTTTTCTTCAGTTGGTGGACTGTGTGCGTTCCACAGTCTGGTGATGTCATGTGACACACGCAAGGCATAGTGGGAGGACTGATCCGATGGTCACAATGGCACTTTTACAACTCTTGTTTGTTTCCAGTTTGCACACCTCTGGATTCTCTTCCCCTTCGTGCAGACGGAGGAGTGTTCAGCTTTCATTGGCTTGAGTTCTGGTTTATCTTTTTCATGGCTTCTCACGTGAGAGACGAGAAGCCCATTCCTAGATTTAGAAATGTGGCAACAGATCTTGCAAGTGTTGTCGTCGTTGGGCAGGGAAGGGGTTTACAGCACCAGACTTACAACTCCGTATATATGCAACGTTAGCACGTGGGGTTGGTACCGTTAGACCAACGTTGGCCCAAAATTGCACTTTACTGGACACGTGTTCCTCTCTCCTGCAGAGACCTCTCGCGCGCCACTCCTCAACGCCAGACACAGCGACATTGAGGCACGGGTCTCTCTGCCTGGGCCCGTCGAGTGGGACCGGTGGCCAAGTTTGAAAGTGCATCATTCTGCTTCACACGGGAACATTGTCCCCTTCTGTGAAACCACCGCTGACCGCACAAGTCTGTGAATCACGGCGTCGTCACAATCGCCTGGTATTCGGACGTGTGGATCTCGGCCACAGGAATTGCAACCTCACACGGGCGACACGTCGTGGCATTTACACTGACCACGGTATAACCAAAGACTGTACCAAAAGGGGGGGGGGGGAACAACTACTGACACGTGGGGGGCTTAGTGTGAAGGCCCCCCTCGCTCAACCGCATTCCCAACATTCCTGCTGTCAACGATGACCCCCCCCCCAACTCGACCCCGCCAACCTAACTGCTACGCGCTTCTGTGCGTTTTCCCACAGAGCAACAACATTGGCGGAGAAACGGCAAAAGCAACAGCAAGCGGCGGTGCGGGCCAAGGCGTGCGAATACCGCATTGCCCATGGGAGCACACGGGAGCTCGTGCCCAGAGCTGCGAGTCTCCCCCGTTCCTGGTTATGTGGTGGAGGGGGGGGGGTGCCTTGCCAGGCAATACTAAAGCCATGCACTTCTATTATCGTGAGCCTCGTTCATTATAAAAACTTAAATCATAGCATTGTTGTCGTCAAGTTGGCCGAGTGAATCAGAGGACAGTGCTGAGCTGGCACTGCTGAGAACCTGGGTTCAAATTCTGGCAGCTGTTGCCTGTGGTTAAACCAGATTCTCAGTCCAACCAGCGACTGCAAAAAAGCCCCCATGATGTTAATTTGTTTTTTGGTGAATTTGACTTAATTTCAGCCGAGGATTTTGTGGACCACCATTCACCCTGAAGCGATCTCGGAAGCAGTTCCTGGATACCAGTTTCCATAACACGGAGGGTTGCACCGCTCTGCGAGAGTTCCAAATGGATTCTTCATCTGATGACACGACGCCGATGGCACGACGCCGATGGCACAAAAGGGATCTCAAATTTGTGGATAAATCTATTTTTTATGAAAACCCATAGGGAGGGCCCTCTGGCCCTACACGCCTGGGGGCACGGAGGTTCCCGTAAACCGCGGAGCTCCCACGCCCACGCACGCAGCCCGCACCAGGCCTCTCATTCACTCGCGGCTATTGTTAGCCTAAGCAGGTGGGGAATGTGCGCGTGTGGCTTTGCGTGAGCGCGTAGTCAGGGTGCTGGGCTCGCGTCAAGAATGCGCAGTTCCCCTCCCTATCGCGGCCCACGGAGCCGTGCGGGAGTCGTCGGTCATCGCACCGCTCTTCCCGTTTCGGTCGTCGCCCGTGGCGAGGAAAGGGCCTGGTCCTCGCCGGGACCTGCGCTACTGCCCGCTGGTCCCCGCGTCCATTCAGTCCTGCACGCCGCCCCGGCGACAGTTTTCACGGCGAGCGAGCGTGCCACCGACCGGCCTCGGCACCCGTACGTGACCGCAGACCCGATTTGTCTTCTCCTTCTTAGGCATGTCGTTTCAAAAGCCATGGAGGAAGTTTACAACCGAGCATGTTGAGTTCAGACAGCCATTCGGTGGAGTCTACGATCACCAGATACATGCCACTACGAGTCCATTGGTAGATTCCATGGGGCCCACAACAGGGCCACTCACGTTTCAGTTCATTGTCGTTTCGTTCGGTCGGATATTTTCATGACATTCCTTGCGTTTTTTCTAAACGCAGTACCCACCCCCTTGTGGGAGAGTCAAGCGGTTGTCATCTGGAGAGTCTTGCCCCCATCATAGGGATGTAGCATTTGCACCACTGGCTCAGCGGGGCTGTAAACAGGAGACGAGCACCAATGCATCAAAGCTCATTTGAGCAGTAAACCACTTTGGCTTTTCAAACGTTAAAGAGTAGACCGCCAGTGGGCGGCCATAATCATCGTCATCGTCGCCTCCAGCATTTCTGTAATATTCCTGCACCGTGGGCGGAAGCTCACGGCGCTTGCCCCGCCGCCCAACGCTCACCCACGCTGTCCTCCCAACGCCCAGGTCGCCGGGCGAACATGCCGCGCGCATACCGGCCACATACCAGCCAGCACACTCTCGCCGCAGAAAGCAACTGCTCAAGGGCACCCGGTGGCTCGCGGAGGAAAAGCAAAACAACACAATGGCAAAACACCACTGAGAAATGGTCCCGGAGACACAACGCAGCAAACTAAAAACACAAACACGGCTCTGAGAAGGAGGGGGGGGGGGGCCTCCGGATGCGGGTGTCCGTCAGCACCCATGGGCCGTGGGAATCGCGCAACCCTCGGGGGTGCCGAGTCCCCGGGGGCACCAGCGCTGGCTGCAGGGAAGAGAGAGAGAAGCTCCTGCCCGGCGCCAGCAGCACAAATGCCAGGCGCCCACTGTGACACCAACCCCGCCCAGCCCCGTGCCCAGCCACGGGCACAGGGCCATGTGGCCAGGGTTTCCATGTTTTATTGTTTTAAAATGCGGCTCGTTAAAGTGTAGAGCTGTTCCAGTTGCACGGGCGTCCTCTAAACCCACCTCCAATTTGTGCCCGATGGTGAACGTCAATCCCTCCACGCCAGTGCGGCGCAGTCAACGCCGCCCCCCACCCACTACCCCCTGGCCACCCCCATCACGCTCGCAGCTTGCCTTTGTCACGATACAATCGCTGGCCGTGAGGTTGTTTGATGTTGATCTTTCTCTCGAGTTTCAACCGCGTTTGGAAACGTCTATTTGCTCGCATGGGCGCTGCTACTGGTTTTGTGTGGCTTGGCTCTGGATCTCTGGTACTAAACGCGAGCGCACAGAGAGACATGGGCCAGAGCATCGAGTTCCTGCTACTGCTGCCGGGAAGGTGAGGTGAGGATTTCTGTAGGTGACAGGCGAGGGTGGGGGGGGACAAGCAGGGACCAGGAGAGAGCCATATGGGGTTAGGGGTCAAGACAGTAGTGTGGATTTGCACAGCGTCGAAATGTGACCGCATATCAAGAAGCTGTACAGAAAAAGTGGGCATGTTTGTTTTGTAGCGACAAAGAGGAAGTCACGCATAAGCAGAGCAAAAAAAATACAAAGGTTTTGAGCCAGGATTTGAACAGGGGCAAGGTGTTGACATCACAGATGGCTGGGATAAGAGAGTTTCAGAACATGCGGGCAGCAGTGGAGAATGAGCAACCTCCCACCAAGCAAAGGTCAACCAGGAGGCTTCAATAGAAAGCCTTGGTTGCTGGAGCGTAGAGAGCGCCCCGAGGGCAGTAGAGTGTGATTAGAGGAGAGAGAAGTAGCCAGCGGGGAGCCCCTGGAGGATCTTGAAGACGGCAAGCGCAATCTTGTCACCGATGCGGGACCGGATTGGGAATGCGTGGAGGGGATCAGAGTATTGGGGTGGCGTGGCTTCATTTTACGTGGTTGCAGGGGGCGAGGCGACGTTCACGAACGAGGACATAAACCCAGTGGGGGGGGGGGGGGGTGACTGGAGGTCGAGGAGGAGCCACTACAATCGCCCACGTGCAGCCGTGGCAGCTTCAACGACTCGCGCATCAGGCGCCCCCGCGCTCCTCTTTAAATCAGAATTTCAGAGCCTGCCAATTTTCCAAGAGTGGCGAGCATTCTCCGACCCCCCCCCCCCCCACCAACGTACACAGCGCAGCTATTTATTCACTGGCGGCTGGGTCGGGGGGGAGGGGGCCCGGCCCCCGGCTGTCGCACATATTTCCGTGGCGAGGGTGCGGTGTGCGTGGGGATGGACCGTGTTCCGCCCCGGGGACACCGAGTGACGGGGAGAAACAGCTCCTCGGGAATCGGCTCGCAGCAACTCAAGTGGCCAGATGCATAAACAGTCTCCCCCCTTCTCGATTGGCTCGCACCGCCCCCCACCCCCCACCACCACTGGCCCTGACCCCTGACCCAACGTCATTTGAGACTGAACCATAACACTGAACCCAACTCGAGTCCTAAACTAAGCTCTAACCTGACCTGTGATGTAACCTTCTCAGTGATCTTAAACCCAACTCTCAAGCAAACCGTAAAGTTTCCTCTGAGCCAGCGCCCAAAATTGTAGCCCTAAACCTATCACAGAGTAAAACTTTCTCTGTGCTAAAGCCTTAGAATTAAAATTAGCCCAAATTCCTCACACTAAACACTCCAAGATGTACCCCGACTGAAGCGATAACCCAAGTCAATACCCTTACCCGTGACGACACCCAAGTATTAAAACCAACCCTCGTGTCATCTCCGGCGTGAGCTCGTACCACAGCCCTCTCTATAGCCCAGCGTCCCAACACCACCGTCAGGCCTCACAGCGCACGCCACACGGGCAGGGCAAGCGAAGCTCGGGGCGCTCGGGCGAGCAGGACGCCCGCGCCGCTGTAGGGGGTCAATGTCACTTGTCTGGCTCACAGCGCCATCGTGCGGCGGTGTGAGGCCAGGGGTTGCTCCGGTAGTACAGGCGCGCGGCCTGCCGGCGCCAGCCTGCAACTGCAAGCGCTGCGTACACCGAGCGGCGCTTCAATGTCGGCCTCGGCGAGTAAAGGTACCCTTACCCCATACAAATTTCCCGATTACAGGGCAATTACTGGGGTACTACACATGAAAAAGATTTATAACAGGTAAATGCTAGGTAGAGCGCTTTATTCACGGGCTGCGTCACGGAGCTTTTAGCGAGCGGTGAAACAAGGTATTTACCGGGTAATGCTTTGCGCTACCTTTACCCTACCCTTTACCTTAGCCCTTGGCATGTCGACACCGTTACCCTTTTACCCGGTAAAAAGGGTAAATTACCTTACCTTGCCGAGGCCTACTTCAGTGACAATGATTGCCCACCGCCGCACTGTGTTCACTCCTCGCTCTCGAACAGAGAGAGAACGACTCGGAGGCGCGAGGAGGAGGAACCACACACCAAAGCTCTGCAGTCCTCTACATATTAAGGTGTTATTCGCCGAGTGTTGACGTGGGAGGAAACCATATCCAGCATACCTCTCGCTGTGGCTACTACTGGTCAAGTGCCACCTGCTCCAGTTGAGAGGCAACCCGCAAAATATTGAGTGAGAAGCCAAGCCCTGCTTATAGTAACGATGACTTTCATCACTAAAATGTGCAATAAGCGCGTCCGAAATGGTGGGGAAATGCCCCCCGGCGCCTCCCCCCCCTCCACCACCCCCCTCGGTGGTTGCAGACGTCATGAGCAAACAACGGACAAATCTTGCAATGACAAAAGTATAAGTGAACACCCCAGGTCTCCCTTTCACGAGAGATGCAGGTCAATCCAGACAGGCGAGTGAGCCGCGCCCAGGTGCAGCAGGTGTGGGTGCAGCAGGCTTGAGTGGGGTCCCACCCAGGTGGGGTGCAAGTGGGGTGGAGGTACGCGTCACACTCACCTCCGTCTGTCCCTCGTGGGCACTCGACTCGTGACTCGCGCGGATGCTCTACGCACAGAGGGGAGCGATGTTAGCGACTCGCGCGCATGGGCACACACTCGTGCAGACGCACGCATCCATACACACACACGCACGCACACTCACGTATCCACAAACACACTCGCGCGCACACCTGCTCGTGCCAGGACGGCCTGCGCAAAGCTCCCAAGTGAGGCCGCGCGCGGAGTTTTATAGTTATTGACGCGCTCAGCC